GAAGCTAGGGACCTTGCTAGAAAATATGCGATACCGGATCCTACAAATAGGAACAATTTCACTTGCAATTTCTGTTTGAAAGTAACTAAGGGAGGGGTTTTTCGTTTAAAACAACATCTTGTGGGAGGGTTTAGGAATGTTACCAAATGCCCTAAATGTCCCTAACATGTTCGGGAAGAAATTAAGTCATTTATGTTGAAAAAACAAGCTTCCAAAGAAGAAAACGAGTTGCTCCCAAAAATGGCCCAACTTTATGAGTATGATGGTGATGAGGAAGAAGATTGTGTGGATCTCACAAATAAATTGCCATCGGCCAAAAGACCAAGACAAAAGGGTCCAATTGATGTTTATTTTAGACCTAACCCCGAAGATGTCCTTAAAGGAAAAAAAAGCGGGAAGCAACAAACCATCAATGAAGTTTGTAAAAAGGAATTAAGGGCTAAAGTATGTGGAGACATAGCTAGGTGGTTTATTGATGCAGCTCTTCCATTTCATGTTGCCAATTATGATAGTTTTAAAATTATGATTGAATCGATTGGGCAATTTGGTCCTGGACTGAAACCACCTAGCATGTACGAGTTAAGAGTTCCATTACTTAGAAAGGAAGTGGAGGATACCCAAACAATGCTGGATGAGTACAAGAAAGAATGGGCATTAAAAGGTTGCTCGTTGTTATCTGATGGGTGGCGTGATACCGTTGCCCAAAAGGAGATCATTAATTTTTTAATTAATTCTCCTAAGGGTTCAGTGTTCATTAAGTCCATGGATGTTTTAGAAGTCTCAAAAGATGCAAATCTTATGTTTAATATTCTTGACGAAATGATTGAAGAAATTGGTGAGCAGAATGTAGTGCAAGTTGTAACTGACAATGCATCCGCTTATGTGAAAGTGGGTAAGTTATATGATTATATCAATTTTACTTTTTTACAAATGTTTTTTCATTCTTTTTAACAAAAAGCTAAAATGTTAACTGTGATTTAAAATTTTCGTAGGAAAATTACTAGAAGCAAAACGCCCACACCTTTATTGGACTCCTTGCGCTGCGCATTGCATTGATCTTATGTTAGAGGACATTGGGAAGATTCCCAAAGTTCACAATGCTTTGAAGAAGGCAGTTTTTATGAACGGTTTTATCTATTCCTATGTTGGTCTTGTGAATATGATGAGGAGATTCACAGGCCAAAGGAATTTGCATAGGCCTGGCATCACGAGATTTGCTACATCTTTTATCACTCTCTCTCAATATCACAAGCAGAAGAATAATTTGAGGAAGTTGGTGACTTCGGAAGATTGGAGATCAAGCAAATGGTCAAAAAAAGCAGCTGGAAAGAAAGTTGCGTCGTATTTATTGCAAGAGAGTTCCTGGAAGAGTGTTGTTTATGCTTTGAAATTGGTGGGGCCGCTTGTGAAAGTGTTGAGGATCGTTGATGGAGAAAGAAAGCCGGCCATGGGATACATATATGAAGCCATGGATAGGGCTAAGGAGACCATTGCAAAATCTTTCGGAGAAAAAGAAGAATTTTATAAGAAAACATTTGAAATAATCGATGAGAGGTGGCAATGTCAGTTGCATCGGCCGTTACATGCTGCGGGGCATTACTTGAACCCGGAACTCTTCTATGATGATTCAGAACGCATAACGAATGATGAAGAGGTGATGAATGGCTTGTATGCTTGTATTGCTAGATTGGTTGTTGATGTTGAAGACCAAGATAAAGTCATCAAGGAGTTGGATGCATATTCGAGTGCACAAGGCTTATTCGGCATCCCGGCAGCCATAAGGCAGAGAAAAATAAAATCTCCTGGTACTTTTATAACTTATAATTCTTTCTATAACAAATTAGAATTTATGTTTATAAATTCAAATGATTTTCAATTAACTATTTTTTAAACTCTCGAAACTCAAAACCAGCGGATTGGTGGAATTCCTTTGGATCATCTGTTCCTAATTTGAAGAAGTTCGCTATTCGAGTCCTTAGCCTCACTTGTAGTGCCACTGGCTGTGAAAGAAATTGGGGTGTTTTTCAGCATGTAAGCTCTAATCCGCAAATTAAACGTGTTAATTTTCATAGACTTTAAATTTCAAATATTTACATAATTTCATTTTGACAGCTTCATACTAAGAAGAGAAATCGATTGTCGCAAAGTCGTTTGAATGACTTAGTTTTTGTAAAATATAACTGTGCTTTGAAAAGACGGTATGAGAGGAAAGACATCACCGATCCCATTCTGTTAGAAGAGATTGATGAAAGTAATGAGTGGTTGCTCGGAAGAATGGAGAATGATGACGAAGATGATGATTTTGTGTTTGAAGATGATACTTTGACATGGGGGGCAGTTGCTAGAGCTGCTGGAGCATATGAGCCTAGTTACGTCACTAGATCAGCAGCTAGGAATGATGGAGCTAGTACATCAAACAATGACAAAGGCAAGAGGATTGTTGAAGAAACTTGGGAGGAAAACTTAGGAGTAACTGATGATGAAGGAAATGACGATGTTGAGCTTGCTACTCTCGATAATGAGGATGATGACAGTGATGAATATTGTTGACAATATTGCTTGCAAGTTTAATTATGTTTTGAAGCTTTAAGATTGAGTTTTGTGACTTCACTTTTGGCAATTATGCCTTTAAACATATATTTCTTGCTTCTGTCTTATTCTCTTTAATTAATATTTTGTTTCTCTTATGATGTTTATTAAGATTGTTTAATAGTTTGAAGTATTTTTGAGAAGAGTGCTTCATGTAGAAGTACTAAAAATATATTTAACGAGGGAAATGTGGCTGAGATCCGTGATGCGCGCGCATCACCGCCTAGCGCCTCGCGCCTCGGGTAAATCAAAAAAATCGCCTCAAGGTGCCTCGTGCCTTTTAAAACCAAGGCTGTATGTCTCAAACACATCAAGTGTTGCCAGAGTCTCACAAGGTTGTTGAAGTATTGAGTTACACTCAATTCTCCCTGCTGAAGGTTATGTAACATTGATTCAACCTCAAATAATTCAGAAGTGTTATCTGAAGTTGAGTATGTTTCTTTCACAGCCTCCCAAATCTCTTGAGCTGTTTTGTATAGTAGGAAATTTTCCCCTATACTGGTTGTCATGGAATTGATAAGCCATGACATCACAGTATAGTTCTCCTTTTTCCACTTCTTGTAGCCTGGATCTCCTTGATCCGGAGCAGGTGCATCACCTGTCAAATAGTCCTCCTTGTCTTTTCCACACACATACATCATACATCATGACTGATTGAGACCATTGTAGATAATTACTACCATTGAGTTTATGGCAAGTAATAATCGAATCTGATTGATTAGGAGTGGTGACTATGCTTCCATTGATATTCTGGTTGCTGCCATCTCCAGTTGGGACAACCTCTGAATGTTCAGAGGTGATTGAGATAGATCCATCTCTCTCGGTGGTCATCCCGTAGGATCCGAACTTAATCATTTTAGACAATAACCACGCTCTGATACCATGTAGAAATAACTCGAGAAAGTAAAATGTATTCTGCTTATTATGTTCCGTAAGATACAAGGAGAAGAATACATAATATGTATAGCTAGAGAAAAATGAAATAAGGAAGGAATCCTCCTAATTAAGGTTCCCTAATAAAGAAAAGATAATTGGGGATATTTAGAGATTCTAAGATCTCTAAGATATCTCCTCATAAATGCTCAATCAGGTGAGTAATTAGAACAATCTGTAATAATCTACAATCCTAAATGCCATTAATGTATTAAACTCTTCATATGTTTTCTTGAAATCCATAAAAGAAGCCGTGAGAAGCTTATATTTCAATTCTGCTTTGCAAAAGGCTTTGTACACCTCATAGATATGATTGAGGTTGCCTTTGCCCGAATACATATATTCCAAACAATCAAACAATTCTTTCACAGTATCACAGTGACTAACATACCTCATTACCTCATTCTCCATTGAGTTTTAAATCTAGATAAATAATATAGAATCACCACGGAGCTAGACACCATTAGCGACTTTGTCAATTTCCTCTTTTGGCAGTTCATCAACCAAGTGGGATATATATCAACTCCTCAAATAACGTTTGATAGTTTTACTCCATTCAAGATAATTGGAGCCACAAAGTTTATTTTCTGTAATTTCACAGTTAATTGGAAATTTGGAACAGCTTCTGATACTACCAAAGGTCAGTTATTTAACTTGGCAAAGGTGTCTATGTTGGAATGTGAACCAGACATTTGTGTTTTCAATTTTTTATTTTTATTTCTTTCTAATTTTTTGTGTGTCGGCTGTCTAGTAAAAAACTGGATATCAGTATATCAACCTAGACATACAGCTAGGTTCCCATTCATTGAGTCACAATTTGGAGAATAAAGAAGAGGACCCAGTTGACTGCTGTGGAATCCCAACAAACGCACGTCTTCGTCGACTTAAACAGGTTTTGCTCAACAAGAGAGTTCCAAATTTGAGACACCTGAAACTAACTTTCACATATGGTAGAGGATACACAGGTGAGGCTGGAGATGATTTCCGATCAAATCTCCGGTCAGGTAAACAGTGTCACATGCCAGCACGTGCGGCGGCTGCGAGACCTTTGAAGGTGCGGACTTCAAACATCTGGTCACCGGCGGCAGGCGCACCAGGGTAGGATGAAGGCAGGATAGGGTGGTCTTGGCCTGGTCCAAGGTTCTGGGTTTTGGTGTTGATGTTATGGATAAGGCTAAGAACTTAGTGTTAGAGAGAAAAACAGCAAAACTAAGCAAAACAGCAAAGTCCCTATACATTACAAATAGAATATTCTTATATATTCTTTGATGTTAATTTTCATGAGAATTGAATAATAGTTCTGTCTATACATTACAAATAGAATATTCCTATATATGATTCTATACAATAATAATATCTTAAAAATAATATCTTAAAGTATATTCTTAAACTATTCTAAAGCATATTCTAATATCTTTCGCAAGACTAATTTTGCCATTCTTTTCTTCCTAGTTGTAATACTGCACTACTTTTGACAGATAAAAAAGTACTTCAAGGAGATTGGTGCTTCAGCAGATGTGAAATACATTGATCCAACATACATGATCCGTGCATGCCGCGCAAATGCATCAGATGGAATTCTCTGTACAGTCCTTGGTCAAAATGCCGTAAGTTCTTTAAAACTCATTTTGTTTATTCATTTAAATCAGGGAAGTTTAGGAGAATAAAATATTTAACAAAAGTATAACAACATTTACACAACTATAAATTTAGCGATCTAAAAAGACAAAATTAAGTTGAGTGCATGAATAGTGAATGAGAGAAACTTAGGGAGTGTTTGCGATTACTTCTACTTTAAAAAAATGATTTTTAAAGTGATTTTGGAAAGAAGTGTTTAATTATTAAAGTTGGTAGTGTTTGAGAAAAAAGTGTTTCTGAAAAAGAATAGTTGGTAGTGTTTGATAAAATAAGTGCTTCATGTTTAATAAAAAAAGTGAAAAGCAGTTTAAACTTTAAAGCACCCCTCAACATACTTTCATCTTTTAGCTTCTAAGTGCTTAATTTAAGCATAATTTGTCACTTGAAAACACCAATTTCAGCTTTTAAAAGCCAAAAGCTGAAAAGCATTTTTTTTAAAGTTTTTGCAAACACTCCTTTATTCTGGAATGGAGGGACTATTAAGAAGTGCTTGTGTTTGCTTCTAATTTTTCATCATTTGCAATGGAGCCAAAGATTCATTATTTTTTGGCTTGAGATTATGATGGAATAAAGTAAAATGGCTCACTAAACTGTCTGCGCTTCTATGTTATGGAGCAGCAGTCAGTCCATGCAATTTTGGACGTGATTTTCACTATGGGTCATCCGGAAACAGTCTCTATGTGCTTTAGTACAGGGGTAAGACCGCGTACATCCGATCCCCCTTACCCCACTGTAGGTGGGAGCCTTTGCGGCACTGGGGTAAATGAAAATGAAAAAATGATTATATGGAAAGTACTAAATAGTAAAAGTTGGTAGTGTTCGCAAAGAGAAATGATGTTGAAAAAATAGAAGTTAGAGTGTTTGGTAAAATTGCTTTATGTGTAATAGAAAAACTAAAAATTAGTTTAAAGCATTGTCATTTAAAGCATGACGGTCATTGAAGTCAACATTGACATTGTCATTACTTGACATTGTGGCATTTTAATATGTTTCACATTTTCACAATGACATTTCACGACTATTGTTGACAGTAATTGACACTATCTTAATTACAATGTCATTATTTATAATAGCATTGACATTGTCACTGTCGTTATTTTACATTGTGATATTTTATTGTTATTGTGACATTTTCCCCACATATTGACAATGTTTATATTGACAATATTTATATTGACAATATTTGTAATGATAATATTAACATTGTGATATTTTTATGACATTGACATTTTTTCGAAATTGTGATTTTTTCCCGACACTTTGACAATGCAATATTGTGATGTTATTTATTTTAACAATGTGTATTATGACAATATCTGACATTTTATTAAAATTGTGACATTTTTTATAGTAGTAATTTTTTATATATTGTGAATTGCGAGTATTGTTAGGATGAAAATATTTATAAAATGAAGATTTAAAGATAACGAAGCTTCAAAAAATAGAAATGAGAGAATACGAGAGATGACAAAGAGCTTATTTATCTCCGTCTTCAACCTCTCTGCTTTCCTTCCTTTCCACTTGTAGTCCTATTTATTTAGTTGCTTGGGATATGTGTTAGTGTTATTGAGGTCTTTTCTGTGAAAACAATAGTTTTAGCTTTAGGTTTTTGATTATATGTGAAAGCTGATGGTATGTATTATGGGGTGCAGGTTCATGGTGCGTTTGGTGGATATAGTGGCATCACCGTGGGAATATGCAACACACATTATGTGTACTTTCCCATTCCTGAAGTCATTTCTCATGCAAGGTGCATCGACCCCAATAGTCGGATGTGGCACCGTTGCCTTACGTCCACCGGCCAGCCCGACTTTATTTAATTCCTCCTGCATACCATTTCTTTTTTCTTTTTTCCCTATCAGCCCACAAGTACTGAAGCTGAACCATTGCAAATTATTTTTTTCTTAGTGCCCGCTCCTTTGTTGTAACTATATACAAATTATAAATAAATAAATAAATTCCTACTTCTGGACTTTCTTGTCAAACGTAGAATGGAGTCTTTATTTTTTACATTTAATTTGCGGGATGCACTCATTCGTTTAATTTGCGGGGTGCAGTTGAGCTAGTGCATCAATATTGTCCAACGTCAGTGTCACCTTAACTACGTGCGCCTAGGGCTGTTAACGAACCGAGCATTTATCAAACTATTTGAGTTCGAGCTCAGTTTCGAACCTAATGAGCCGAGTTTAACGAACTTTCGAACTCGAACCTGAGTCCTGAGCTGAGTTTCAAGTTTGAAAAATTAATCGAGCCAAACTCGAACATAGTATGTATTCGGCTCGGTTCGAACTCGGGTCTATCAAACACCTTGAAATTATAAATATAATTTACATATGTTAAAATTTAAATATAATTAGTACAATTTTATGAATTTAAATATGATTATTAAAGAACCGAATACTTGTCGAATCATTTGAGCACGACTGCACGAGCCTATTAACGAGCATCACCTAAAATTTTAAATTAGAGCATATTTATCTACTGATGGACCGGGCCCGATCTGGTTCTGGTTCCAGGCCTGGCCCGGTCGGGCTTTTGTTTTTGGGGAGGAAGCCCGAGACCGGCCTGGGTGTCCGACGGTACCGGTTCGGGCTGGGCTACCCGCCCCGGGTAGTGGGCCGGGCTGGGTCGGTTTTTTAGTTTAAGAAATTAAATCAAGAAGTGCTACATACAAAAAACTGAACGTATATTATTTGACATATGAACTACAAGTCTGCAATTGAGAATTAGGTAAAAAATTAAAACATGAAGTGTAAAGTGTTCGATAAATTTTTTTTAACAAGAAAATGATATTTATTAAATAAGAAGAGTACAAAATGATGAAAAAAAGCTAGTGAAACAAAGAAAGCAAGTGAAACAAAATCGCTAATGAGTGAACAATCCAATAAGGCCCCGCAAATCCACCACCAATCAACGCCCCAAAGAGAACGAAAAGCTCCCCGTTGAATTATATTAAGTTGCCCAAAAGAGCGACCCTATGCGTCAACCATTTTTTTAGCCTTGAGACGAGCACTCCGTCGAGGTAGCAATCTAGAAAGTGTCAGCAACGCGATCTAGCAGCTCACGATCAGAAAGTGTCCTTTGAACACTGAATAGGCGTAATTTCAAGATCTTTACCACCCGAAGCATTATATTGATATATTCCAAAACTTCAGTTTGGGGAGAAACCAATTCATCCGCTAAAAGAGGTTCGATATTGTGAGGTGAAAAAGAAACTTGAAGAGGAGTAGTTTCAAGGATATCTGACACATCTATCTCCTTTGTTTCAAAAGTTAATAATGTCCCCTGATGAGAAGTATCCCGAATCACAATAGCACTCCTTGAAATATTATCCGATTCATACATAAGCCCAAGATAATGCAAATCTTCTTTGAAGATTAAAGAGGATATTGATTCTGTGTCAGTAGAAGATGATCCTTTGTTCGAACAAAAAACCCCGAAGTCCACAAGTGGCGGCAAGCCATCATCCGAATCATGTTCAATTGCTAATTTTTTGGGAACAAATGACTTCATCAAAGTACTTGCTTTTGTAATCCCCTAAAGAAAAAGATTTATCCCTTGTCCATTCCTTCCCTCCGGAATAAACATAGAATCACACCCCTTTTCAATTATTCGAATAAATCCTCCAAAGAAATTAGCATCATACAAAACAATTAAGGATTTATTCAGCTCCAACCTAGTACCGAATTTCCTACTCAAAAAGATCGCGAGTATGGAATCCTTCGACCAATTAAGCCTAGCAATATCGAGATTGATAAAAGACGATATTCCATGCTTCGTTTCAGAAATGCAAACAGTAACGCAATCAATAATTTTGAAGTTAAAACATTTACTTTCAATGTAAATATCATACTCATCTTCTGCCGTTCGAATTGAATCTGACATGGAACCATTTTGACCTGCAATTTCCACCTCTGGATGTGTTTACCGAGGACGATAGTCTCCTTGCAGTTTCCAATATGGTTCTGGACGAGAACTTGGCTGGCTGGCTCCAAATGATGAACAGAGAGATTCCCAATGCCTGAGCCGCCCTGCCTGGTCGTTTGAGTTGAGACGTGCTCTGCATCTTCTCTCCCGTCGCCAAAGAGCACATTCCCCTTGCCTGAGGGGGCGGCAACAACATCGTTGGTGGCTGAGAAATTCGCAGAGGTCCGGAGATCTGCTGCAACATCGCAGAGAGCCGGTGAAACGCCATCCTCCTTGAGTGGGGTGATGCTACGTTGGGCCTTCCACCAATAATCATAGTAGCAAACCAGCGTCTCAAGAGAGTTTGCGCTCAATCTCTTTCTATAATCCGTTAGAACGTTGCCGGCCGCACTAAATTCTTGTTCTACGGCAACAGTTGAAACCGACATTAATAGCACTTGCTTAGCCATCTTTGATAAAATCGAGAACGTTCTTTCTTTATCCTTCTACCTCTTTAGAACGTCAAAGTCATCATCTTCTTCAAAGTCAACAGGAAATGTTAGATACAAAGAAAGCTCGTTAACTGAGCTTTGTTCAATAACGGGAGTTGATTTACTCCCTCCGTCCTAGAAAATTCTTCCCACTTTGACTTGGCACGCAGATTAAGAAAATGGAATAAAGTGGAAATGTGTGGTTGTAGTTGTGTAAGAAAAATGTGAAATGAATGTGGACCACACAAATTGTCCAAAAATGCTAACTGGGAAGAATTTTTTGGGATGACTTAAAAAGGAAAGTGAGAAGAATTTTATGGGACGGAGGGAGTACTTTTTTTCATAAGATTGCCAAATGTTGATTTAAAAAATGGTTTTCCTTTAGATGAAGATGTTCGTGTCGTGGGAGGGGGTGCGTTACCATATTGTGCATGAAACTCATTAAATAATAAATTACTAACCTCTTGGTATTCTTGTTTAGGGTCTATGGCCTTTTCCTCGTACATAGGAAATTGACCAAAAAAAGAAGCATAATAGTAATCTAAACATTGTTGCAAAGCACTAAGTTTATAATGAGGATCAAGAATAAATGCAATACTATAAATATGCGGAATACGTGCATAATATTTTAAAAACTTTTCTTTCATGTATTCACAAAAATAACTCACGTGAGGGGCATCAGAAAATTAATAAAAAGCACCGGCGAGATTAACAGCTTCACGAGAAAATTGGTTTGAGGTAGGTGTATAAACATACTAAAAGTTTCAGTTGCATTATTAAAAAGGTTAAAGGGTCAAATAAGTCCTTGTATCCTTTCGGATTGCTCAATTTGCCCCCTCAACCCAAAAAAGCTCCAATTGGCACCCTGAACTCGATAAAAATATTCAAATTTCATTTTTTGCAGGTTTCAAACCGGTCACCGCCATGTCACCCGGTAGGGTGCCAATTGGGAATGTGACGTGGAAACTTAGGGGGTCAAATAAGCCCCTGAACCCGATCGAATCGTTCAATTTACCCCATCAACCCTAAAAAATGTCAAATTTTTTTTAAGGGTCGAGGGAGTAAATTGAACATTTCAGTCGGGTTCAGGGGCTTATTTGACCCCCTGAGTTGGCACCCTACCGGGTGATGTGGCGGTGACCGGTTTGTGACCTGCAAAAAGTAAAATTTGAATCTTTTTATGGAGTTCAGTGTGCCAATTAGAACTTTTTTGGGTTGAGGGGGCAAATTGAGCAATCCGAAAGGATACAAGGACTTATTTGACCCTTTAACCTATTAAAAAATACCAAAACATTCACAATTTTTTCGTAAGTGTCGATGTCAATCGGGTTTGTAATATAGTTAGCATATTCTTTTAAAAAGCAGGAAAATGGTCTTTAAATCTAACAAGTACTTTAATAAATTTATAAGTAATATTCACGTGAATAGACAAATCTTTAGGAAAAGTACAATATTTCACACGTCTTTCTCTCAAATACTAAGTAACAATTTAAGAACTACTTCCGAACTACTAATTTATTAAATACTTACATGTAACAATTTAAGAACTAAAAATTCTAACTAATTAATGACACCTAAAAATTCGAACTAATTTAATAAAAACTTTAATGACAACTGTAACAATTAAGTAATGAACTAATTTAATGACAAATGTAACTAGGATGAGTAAATAGGAAAAATGTATGAATGTGTATACTAATTAATGGGAGTAATAGAATATATAAGTATACTACTATAATATGAGTAGTACACTTATATTTAATACTTTAATATTTATATATACTTAATATATTAATTAGATGTAATATAAGTATATATAAGTAAATAACAACTATATAATAAGTAGATATTAAGTAGATAATATATGTATTTGTAACTTATAAGTAGCTAATAACTATATTCGTAGATACAATAACTGTATAACTAATATATAATACAATATTTATAGTATATAATATATAAGTATATTAATAGGAAACTAATATAAATAACTAAGTATATTAGTAGTATTAATATAACAATAGTAATAGGAAATTAATAATATAAGTATATTACAATACTACTATTAATTAATAGTATAATTATATATGAAAATTTAAATACAATATATAATATTAGAAATAATAAGAATAGTAATAATAATTAAGAAAGTGGTGAAGAGTAGTAGATGAAGATGAAGAAATTGATGAATATAGTAGTTGATAGAAAATAAGAGAGTAAGAGAATGAATTGTGTAAAAAAATGAAAGGGATAACTACCAAATAAGCCCTCGAACTTTCATAAAAAGTGCAAATAAGTCCTTTTATAGGAGGTTCTGTTCGGCGTCGCCATTTGGGGCGGTTTCCGGTGGAATTATTTGATGAAGTTTTTGAGAATCTTCTTAATTAAGTCTAGTTTACTCATACCAAATTTCAGCTGACAATTCAATCGGGAAGGCAGACAAATGAATTTTTGAAGATGACTGCGCAGCTAGACAGCGCAGTATATTTCAGAAAATCATTTGACTGCCTTGTCGATTGAATTTTTAGCTGATATTTGGTATGGGTAAACTAGACTTAATGAAGAAGATGCTCAAAAAATTTCATAAAACATTTCTGCCGGAAACCGCCCTAAATGGCGACAGCCGGACAGAGCCTCCTATAAATGGGTTTATTTGCACTTTTTATGAAAGTTTGAGGGCTTATTTGATAGTTCTCCCCCCACCCCCGGGACACCCCCCCTTTTCCCCCAACGGCTATAGAGCCGTTTGGGAGCTCCCCAAGGGCTATATGCCTGTTTAATAATTTTTTTTAATTCTAGCCGTTAGGCCCGGGCCCGACCCGGCCGGGCCGGGTCACCAAATTCAAGTCCCGAAACCGCCCCACATTCATTATCGGTCCGGGCCTAGGCTCGGAACCAGCATCCAACGTCCGGGCCGGGTCGGGCCCGCACAGTAGCAGGCCGGGCCAGTTCATGGGCCGGTCGGGCCGGTCCCGGTCCAAGACTATATTTATCGAGCTTATCGAGCGCTCGGTTCGAACACCGAACGCTTATCAAGCCGAACATGAGTCTCATTTGTAAAGCTCACCGAGCTTGCCAGGATTTTATTAAAAATCAACGATTACAAGAGAGGGGGACCAAACCAAAACCTCCCAAGAAAATAGAAAGGAATAGAAGAGAAGGAAAAAATTAATCACGCAAGAAATGATGTAACTCACGTGTAAAGAAATGTAATTCACGTTAATAAGAAATGTCAACGCAAGCAAGTAGAAATCTAAATGCTAAATAACTTTACCTAAATGGTGAATATGTTTTGTTTATATCATTAAGATCATAAAAGGTTTTAAAGAAATCATTTTTTCCCAAAAAAAAACAATATTTTGCACACAAAAAATTAATTGAAAAAGTTTTTTTTGGTTCAACAAAGTGGGTAATTTATTTTGTGATGTAATTCGTGTTACGGAAAATATAACTTGCGTTGATGGAAAATCTAATTTAGGTGTATGTAAAATGTAACTTGTTGATGCAAGATTAAATGTAACTCGCGCATATAAAGATGTAAATCACGCGCAAGAAGATGTAACTCGTGCATAATAACCCAAACACATGAATGATGTAACTCGCGTAAAAAAAAGATGTAACTCTGGAAGTATTTTCAAAGTAACTTGAACCAAGTCCAAATCTAATTTGTTCAATAATGTATAAAATATACAGAGTATATACGAACTGTAACTGGTGAGAGAGGCCAAAACCATAGAGACATTCAGTTGCTTTAAGCCAAGTTTCCCCTTACAAGAATGGACGGATGGTATATTCCATGGCTTCATCCTTCATTATCTCGCCTTTATGACCTCCCCACTTCACTCTGGAAGTAACCGCTGCTCCCTTGTCGGAGTTTCCGTACTCGGTGAAATACATCATCACCAAAGCAAAGTCGCCGCTCCACAACATCCATCCTTCCGGGTCGATGAAGTTACCAATTTCCGTCTCCATTATCACTGTTCTTGAGAACTCCTTCCATGGACGGCCCAGATAGCTAAAGGTCTTCGCCTTCTCCGACTCAAGAGTGTCGTCGGCCAGAATCTTGCGGTTCGATCTGCAGAACGATGTCTTGCTAGTTCTCCATCGGCTTCCACGTGTGGATCATGCAGTTTGTGAAGACGGAAGCGGCATTCCAGAAGATGAAGTCAACCGTGCTAGTAATGTAGCAGTCGCGGTAGAATTGCGTTGTTGCGTATCGGAACAAGAGTTGTCTGCCTTTTAATTAATAAAACTGCATAGTTTTGGGATCGGTACATCATGCACGTGGTGTACCAATCCCACGGTATAATTTGCATTCGAAATCAATCTCTATGATGGATTATATTCCCATATACCCCAGTGATATCATGATTGGCGGGCAAAGACTCCCAGCTATGCACCAAATACCTAAGTCCGAAGCTTCAGCCGAGGCCGACTTTGGCGCAGGAGGTCGGGTCGCAACGAAAGGCAACAAATCGATAAAGTATGGAACCCCGGCCGAGGCCGACCTCGACCCACCGAGGTTAGCACGAACATCGAGCTCGCAGATCACCCAGATATGATGAAATCTGAGGCCGACCTCGAACACACTGAGGTTGGTACCGGATCTGACCTCGAAAAACACGCACCAAGTCAACGGAAGTCGAAGAGAGTCAAACAAGAACGAAGGATGACCGTCACTGGATAAACCGAAGACCTGGAAAGCCTTCCTGAGCGAAAACGCTATACCCGACCTCCGACCTCCTGAAGCTCGGGGCCTCATTTACTAAACATGGACTTAGGCATCTTAGCAGTCCAAATACCACGCAAAGCTACCACCATGTCACCAACACTATACAAAGTGCCACGTCACTCCAGCAGATAGGATGAAAGAATAATCCGGATAACACACACGTGTGT